AGAAAGCTCTGATAGATGGCAGAGCTTCCGTGTCTCAGGCAATATAAAATTATTTCATGTAATCTACACCCTCTGAGCCATCGAAGCCTTGGAAGCACTTGGGACTTTTTTGGGATACCTGATAAAAACAGATAATGGAAGTTCCTTTCATTCAACAATGGATGGACAAAATAAGGTAGAGAGAGGCTTCCTGAGCCAAGTGAAAAGGGAAATCACCTTGGGAACATGCTTAATCACCAATTTCTCTTAATGAAATTCCAGTTAAGAATCCCTAGTGGGCAGAGCTCAAAGACTCCTCAAGACAATCAGTAACTCTCGACAAAACTTCAGTGTGCTGCCCCCATGGGTGAAGCTATATACAGTGGGCGGGGGTCTGTGTACAATGGGTGGAACTCCATGCAGTGGGCGTGGCTATGTAGTACAGTGGCCAGACTTCTACGGTCCAGTGTGTGGCTGCATGATATAGCGGGCAAAGCTGAGGTACAATGGGTGGAGTTCTATGAAGGGTGGGTTGGGGCTGTATAGTATAGTGGGCAGAGTTCTGGGCAGAGGGCTGACAGCATGGCGGTTGAAGGCAACAGGGGTGCTCGTGACAGGGATAGCTCCAGGAGAGCAGCATTGGCAGCAGCAGGAGAAGTACAGGCCATGAACATTTAAAAAAAAAAAAATGCTTCTCCCAGAAATCTGCCACTGTAGGCAGCTGCTTAGTTTGTCTATAGCTAGAAGCCCCCTGGCAGAGCTTGAAACAATGCTGCCAATTCAATTCATGATTTTATCACAAGTTTTGTGATACTTAGTGTTTTTCTTAAATTCCCAGCTCCTGGAGTCATATGATCATTCAACTTTGGAAACAAGCTTGAACACATGAACCAAAATGATTCAAAACCCAAAACGAAAGAGAATCCAAAATTTATTATTTTTAATTTTTCAATTTTTTGGGTCCTGGCATGATTTTTCAATGCCTGGGGTTGACAATTCTGAATTCCCACACTTTCTTGAATAAGCAGATGCCTAATAGAAGGTCTATTCAAAAGCTGAATCCAAAATTTTCCTTTGTTTAAAACCAGGACTAGTGAGAATATTTAGTAACAGACTAAACAAGGGAGATAAATTGAACTGATTAATACCAGGTGTGGGGAGAAACTAAAAGAAGAAATAAAGAGAGTTAGAAGCTCAGTGAGAGTTGAGCCCTGAGGCACACAAGCCTGGGGGCCAGTACGGGCTCGAGAGGCCCCCAACAGGTGAGAGATTGGTTCCTGGGGGGAGAAACCCTGAAGAGGGTTTAGGGAATCTTTGGATTCCTGCTGGACAAAGGGAGTAGACTGGTAAGATTTATGAAAATTGACTTCGAATGGTGGGCCAAGTCAGCTGGACTTTGAATTGATTAAATTTCTGGACTTTGTGTTAGTTAGTTTAATGCCCAACAAAGTAGACTTTATGAAGACCTCAGGAAAGAGAGATCAAACTTGCCCAGGCAGAAAGGCTGGGAAAGGACTGAATCTGTCCCCGTGATGGGGTAAAAGG